TGATGCTTTTGAAATGTGGTGTTGGAAAAGACTCTTGAGAGTCCCTTGGAATGCAAGGAGATCCAACCAGTCCATCCTAAAGGAAATCAGTCCTGAATATTCATTGGAAGGACTGATGCTGAAGCTGAAACTCCAATACTTTGGCCGCCTGATGCAAAGAACTGACTCATTTGAAAAGACCCTGATGCTAGGAAAGACTGAGGCAGGAGGAGAAGGGGACGACACAGGACAAGATGGTTGGATGGTATCACCGACTCAATGGACATGAGTTTGAGCAAGCTCTGGGAGATGGTGATGGACAGGGAAGCCTGGCATGCTACAGACCATGGGGTCGCAGAGTCGGACACAACTGAGTGACTGAACTGAACTGAATTGAATGCTTTTAGTAGTTTAAATAAAGGATTTGAGCTGATAATACAGAACTCTGACCCAAGTTTCATTTCTTCAAATAAAACATAAATTTTCAAAAGTTTTTAAAAGCAGGTTTCTGTCAAAGTGTTGTCTATCATTGTTTAGTTGCTAAGTTGTGTCCAACTCTTGCAACCCCATGGACTGAGCCTGCCCGGCTCCTCTGTCATGGGGTTTTTCCCGGGAAAGAATACTGGAGTAGGCTGCCATTTCCTCCCCCTGGGGATCTTCCTGACTCAGGGAACAAAACCACATCTCCTGCTTGGCAGGCAGATTCTTTACCAGTGAGTCACCTGGGAAACTGTTTTGTTTTCAGACTAACTATGATCAAAATCGCACAGGGGTAATGGGTGATTCTAACACCGCCTAACCTGAAGGATTGGGGAAGATGCTTTGCCACCTACATGTAATATTCTTGCCAAAAATATTGAAGACAAATCTTTAATAAGGAAATGATCAGAGAAATTAAAAGTGAGGGACATTCTAAAACTAAGAAACAAAACAAACTGGCCTGGAATTTTCAAAAATGTCAGTATTATGACAGACATGAAAAACAGCCAAACCAGATTTATGAGGTCATAAGACACAAGCACACACCACACACACATACAATGTATGCACATATATATGTAATAGAATTTCTGATGAGAAAATCCTAGATATTTGTTTTTAAGGTCACAAAGTAAATTACTGGGACATTTGAGAAATGTTGAATATAGATAGTTTTATAGTTATTATCACATCAACAGTAAATTTGGGAGTATAATGATACTTTTGTGCTTTTTTTTTTTAATATTGTTACTTTGGTGTTTTATTTGTTATTTTTCTGGCCATACCATTGTGGCATGTGGGATCTAGTTCCCGGATGGGGGATCAAACCTGTGACCCCTGTATTGGGAGCATGGAGTCTTAACCACTGGACCACCAGGGAAGTCCCACTTTTGTGCTTTTATGAAAAGCGTATCATTGTTTTTAGGATGTAGTGCTGAAGCATTAGGACTGAAGAGTCACTACTATGTCTGTGACTTTCAGAAGTTAAGAAAATGTCATGGATAAATAGAGAAAACAGATGTAGTGAACTGTTAATTGGTGTGACAAACATTTGGCATTTGTTGCATTTTCTTGCAACTTTTCTTTAGGTTTAGAATTTTCCTAAACAAAAAGCTGGCCCCAGATTAGATCTACTGGATCTGGGTTGGGAGTGTGGAGTCCACTAATCTGCATTTCAGATAGCTCTTCCTATTGATTTTTACCCATACCATGGTTTAAGATGTATTTATTTGAAGTACAACAATGTATCTTTATTTCAGTTTTTATAAGGGTAGAGCTAGAAAAACCTCCATATCTTGATTACACAATAGAATTTAATAACCTGGATTAATGAGTATAAACATGTCCTTGTTCAACACCCCATTCCATGGTCCTCCTCAATTTTTTCCATTTTTCAACTCTATTAATATCTTTACCTATCTTCACATACATGGTGTTAAAAGTTCATTGTGGAGGGCAATTCCCTGGTGGTCCTGTGGTTCAGTTCAGTTCAGTCGCTCAGTCATGTCTGACTCTTTGCCACCCCATGAATCGCAGCACGCCAGGCCTCCCTGTCCTTCACCAACTCCTGGTCCTGTGGTTAGGACTTAGTAATTTCAGTGCCAAAGGCCCAGGTTCAATCTATGGTCAGGGAACTAAGATCCCACAAGCCGAGCAGCAAAGGAAAAAAAAGTTATTGTGAAGAATGCGGCAGTGAGTGCCACTGTCCAAAGTGCTTCAGTGGACACTGTTGCCATTCAAGCAGAATCGAGCCTCTTAATTTCCTCCAGTAACCAAATAATAAAGACGCGCTGTTCCTGTCCAGCTCAAGGCAATTCTTTCTAAACACTTAAATTATAGATGGATGTATTATCTTGTGTGTTTACTAAATAATACACGACATTAATAAGTAACAAATGAATTAAAGATCCAAAGTGAAAGTTATCCAGTAATGCCTGATTCTTTGTGACCCCTTGGATAGCCTGCCAGGCTCCTCTGTCCATGGACTTCTCCAGGCAAGAGTAACGGAGTGGGTAGCCATTCCCTTCTCCAAGGGATCCTACTGACCCAGGGATCAAACCCGACTCCCCCGAGTTGTAGGCAGATGCTGTACCACCTGAGCCAGACAAGTCCAAAAGATCCAAACACACCTTAACAAACTTTGGTGTATCAATAGCTTACCAAGACATTCCTTTAAATGCATAGCTGTTACTTAAAAATCAACTGAGGCCTTAAACTAATGTTAGATTGGCAAGAAGGCACACAATGTAGTTGTTGTTGAATCATGAGAATACTTGGTCCTTTCTATAGGGTGACATCACCCAAAATAAAGCATACTCTTTTAATGTTTTGTTACTGTTTTTTCATGTCATACTGACAAATCCATACTAATTTCTTGATTCCTCTGAACATTGACTTAAAATTGCTAGATGGATTTACAATTGTGGCTCACAAAGGGATAGAAGCCCAGTTTTAGTATATTTGCAGTATAAATAGCCTCCTACGTTACAGCTTAGCAAAGAAGCAGTTTGTAGTTAACTTAAAGACGGCCATCTAATTTTAGATCTCGGGTAAGTAAAAAAGTTTAACAGTATGCTCTGTGTTGATATGCAAAGTTCAAGTGTCTGTTTTGTTTGGGTCTTTATCTCATTTTTTACTTATTAATGTTATTGAGTAAGCACTTGAAAATGTAGTAAACACAGCATTTATTTGAAATACATTTTAGACTTGTAGGGTATGTGGGTCTGGATTTTTGCTGAATTTTAGATTAAGGAGCTTTCTTACCTTAAAACCCCTTGAGCAACTGTGACCTAAAACTAGAGTTTTAGTCCTTGATTATTTCCTGTTAAGATACTCTGGAAATCCTCCACAGCATGTAACAGTAGGGCTAAACCTAAGGAAATCACTCAACAATTAGGTGTTAATTGTTGATTGATTTCCCCCATGGTTGACTAATTCACCGTAAAGACTCAAGTGAGACTTAACTGTTGGCCATATTTCTAATTAAGTATTTTCTTCCGTTTCCTGGATCCCAGGAGATTTTTAGTAGGTTTTGGATGCGCCAACAAGGACCTCTGACCTCCATTCTCAGAGAATGCCTGGCATTATTTCAAATCTGGATTTGAACATTATAAAGGGATGGATTGGGAGCGAAATCCCTGGACAGAGGGCCAAGTACACTTTGTCATCTGGGTATAAGTTTTTGTCACAATTTCCAGCATGATAATTTTCTAAAAAATAATTGTTTTAAGAAAAAAGTGGTATTTAGAACCAACTAAGTTGAATATAATACACAAATATAGAAAGTTGAGTCATTTTTTCTAGTTATCATACTTTGGGCTGTCCTTCTGAATTAATGAGAAAATATTTTCTTGCGTATTCGTGCTATCTTGCGGTATGAGTGGAACTATATTTTAAAGTTAGATGACAATATACTATTCTCTTTGTTTTTATTAACGAGTCTGGGTTAGGGCTACATTTGGAAAACGTCTGGAGCTTTACGAATCATGGAGCCTATTTAAGCAGCAAGGATTATATTGCTCAGTTTCAATAAATCAACATTCATTATATATAAGCAGTTACAATTCAAAAACCCTTTAGGGGAAAAAAAAAAAAAAGACCAGAACCAAAAGCTATGTAATTCCAAAGCCGCATGGAGCTGTACCTGCCACGGAAGTATCCATTTAAATTCTTGCGTTTCAAGGAATATTACCTATATTTGCAAAAGTTCACAGTGATTTTATCTGCCATTTCTCACGCTTGTTAAAATATTATAAGCATTGTATTAAACAGAGAATGAGAAAAGACCAGAGGCAACATGACAAGAATGGAGGTGGCTATCCCAGAGATATGTGCAGAGCACACTATTTCTTTTCACCCTGCACGATATACGCTAAACGGGACCTTCCAGGACATGTTGGGTGGCCGACATTTTCCGAAGCAGTAATTTCACATAGTCAAGATCTGCAGGCTGTTAAATGCTCCGGCGAAAGGCCAGGAGGCTCTTCATCTTCAAGTTTGGTAGCGGTGGGAACAGGCGGAATAACCCGAGTCCCCTCCAGTGCAGCGTATAGACTTGCCTGCCTCTCCGACACGGAGCGCCGCGGAATTGGCGAGCTTAGCCCCACTAACCGGCGGGGAAGCCGGGGGAGCCCAGAGCCCCGGGCACCCCAGATTTCCGCCTCTCGGTCCTGTCCAGCGCCCCAGCTGCCTCTGCTTCGGGGATGCGGAAACCCCGTAGGAACAGGGCGGGCCGGGAGAGCGGTCGGCCCACCACTTGCTGCAATATTCTTCCGCTGTAGAGCAAAGAGTTCCAACCTTCCCCAGGGTCCTGGGATTCTCAGCAGCCCTGTAATATCGGCAAATAACCTCATTTGGGCTTTAACACCGATTTGCTTAGGATATTTTCTGAGATAAGCACTTTAGGATCACAATTTTCTGGCTGACCGAAGCGCGAAGGAAAAATTCCTCCGCAGAAAACGGGTTCCGGCCGCGAGCCTATAAAAAACGGGTGGCGCGGCCGGGCTGTCTTTTCAGTCCGGCACTGAGTGGTTTTTCGGATCATGTCTGGTGGCTCCGCGGATTATAACAGGTACGGCGCTTCATCGATGGTGCTCTGTGGTGTAGGTTTTAAGACGCCGGTGGAGATTGTAATAGGTGGTCAGGAGGCAGGGAATCCTGGGTTTTAGGCATTGCCTTGGGGTACAGTACCCCACTGTCCTTCGAGAAGCTTCCATGGTGGGTAGGGCCTAGGTTGTGGGGTAAGAGTATGAAAACGGGGTGGTAAAAGTGTGTGTTTTCCCCAAATACGCCTTGAAATCGCGGCAGTTTCCCCTGTCTCTGCGGAGCCCGGCGTTTAGTGGAAGCCGTGGCGCAGTCCGTAGTCGGTACAGTGTAATTGGGGCCCGAAGCTTTATTCGAGGACAACCGCACGGTTTGGGAGCGCTAGAAGATAGGTTCGGGTAAGGGCAGGACGGCGGCGGCTAGAGGCCGGGCCGGGCCGGGCCGGCCACACGTTCCCGGCGAACCGTTGGCAAGGCCTTGCCGGGCCTCGGCCCGCGTCAATCACCCCGGCTTGCGCAGTGTTAGGGGCGGAGCTCGGCGCGTGGAGCTCTCGCGAGATGGTCCGTGGCCGAGAGGGGAGCGCCCGGCACTCGGTCCTGGGGGGAAGGGCCTGCGTCCGTAGGGTTTCCGGGCGTCCCTGGTTCCTAACCTTTGAGTGGTATGTTGTGTGCTCTGCGGCACCATCGTTCTTTCATCGTGTAGAAAGTTTCATCGTTTAACCGGGTGAGACCGGTTATGAAAGGGCTTTTATCCCCCTGAATGTGCAGTTTTGGGGTTGTGAGGAAGGGATGTTCTCTAACTACAGTATTTTTGTCAGCAGAGAACATGGCGGCCCAGAGGGAATGGACCCCGATGGTGTCATCGAGGTAAGAAATAGATGTGGAATTTGGAACGTTGGAAAGGTGGGTTGGTTCATCCCATTTATTCCTTTGCTTTTTTTTTTTTAAACTTTCAGAGCAACTGGAATGAGATTGTTGATAACTTTGATGATATGAACTTAAAGGAGTCTCTTCTTCGGGGCATCTATGCTTATGGTTTTGAGAAGCCATCAGCTATTCAGCAGAGAGCTATTATTCCATGTATTAAAGGTAAAAGAACTTGCTGACCCTTCTTAAAAATGAGTTAACTGTTAAACATGGACCTGGATCTTTTTCCCCTCTAATATGGGAAAATTACCTTTTGGGGAACTAGCACTTATTTGTATTCCATAAAGTGAAATGATGGCAATCATCTTTCGGGACTGACCTGAAATGAAGAGAATACTCATTGCTGATCACTTTTATTGTTTGGGCATAATTCATGTTCCAAATGGAATACATGGTGTGAACTAGAAGTAACGGTTTGATGTGGGATCGGTAAATATGTATCCTACTTTTTTTAGGGTATGATGTGATTGCTCAAGCTCAGTCAGGTACTGGCAAGACAGCCACATTTGCTATTTCCATCCTGCAACAGTTGGAGATTGAGTTCAAGGAGACCCAAGCACTAGTATTGGCCCCCACCAGAGAACTGGCTCAACAGGTATTGATAGTGTAGTTGAAAAAAACTGCTTGCGTGTTGCATAGGTTTCAGGTTTCACAACTGGGAAGAATTTAAAGCTTAGTATAAATTTGTCCTATAGAGCCCTCCTTTTAACTGTCCATGCATGCAGGGAGTTTTGTTGAAAGCTAGACAGGAACTGGGTGTGCAGGTATGGTTTGCAGGGTTGTGTAACAGACTGAGAAACTGGAGGTTTCTGTTCAGGGTGGACTAGACCCGTTTTCATTTTTAAGTTTGAATGCAGTTGTGCAACATGAAAACTGCAGTGACATGTTCTCCTTTGACAGTCTCAGTAGTTTGTGATACATCTGTTGCATGCTGCGTTTTCAAAGCTCACTGCTCTATTGGCTTTGAAGTAAAGCCTTGCTAATATACCTGTAGGCTTTATTAAGACCAAGATTGTTAAGTTGCAGTACCCTTAGGGGATAAATATTAACTTCCAGCTAAAACTGCTACTTTTTTTAATCACTACTTACACTTTCCTACACAGTGAAGGATAGTGGAGGAAGTATTTTTTGTTATTTACCTAGCTGGTACCTGGGGCATTAGGATTCAAAGTTTGATGAGGCACAAGATGTTTTCACAAAAGTTTATTTTGAGGTAGTTAGATTGGTCTGCATTTTAAGCTTGGAAGTAGTTAAGTGCTGTGCATGCATTAAAGCTTTTTGCAGACCAGATACTTGCCATTATGCTTTCGAAGTTTAGTCACAAGCCTGTAATTCTGCAGGATAATAATTAAGGCTTTTGGCTTTCAGATCCAAAAGGTAATTCTGGCACTTGGAGATTATATGGGAGCAACTTGTCATGCCTGCATTGGTGGAACAAATGTTCGAAATGAAATGCAAAAACTGCAGGCTGAAGCACCACATATTGTTGTTGGGACACCAGGGAGAGTGTTTGATATGTTAAACAGAAGATATCTCTGTAAGTACTGCTGATGAGTAAAGTTTTTACTATAATAAAGCAAATAGTATGCCTGAGAATTTAGGTATGATGGCATGACTTTATATTTTTTAACAGCTCCAAAATGGATCAAAATGTTCGTTTTGGATGAAGCAGATGAAATGCTGAGCCGAGGGTTTAAGGATCAAATCTATGAGATTTTCCAAAAATTAAATACTAGTATTCAGGTGAGCTTTATTTCAGTCTCCTAAAATTGCAGGAGATTAGATTTAACACAGGCACTATTAGAGTTGAAGTGTTTTGTGTCATTCCCCCTACTTAACAGCAACTGATGGATAACTATTTCTATCTGGTATAATTCCATGTTCAGAGGTGCTTGATTTCAAAATGTTTTGTCTTGAATATTGTGAAAGTTGTGCTAACTAGGTGTGACAACGTATCTTTTTAAGGTGGTGTTGCTTTCTGCCACAATGCCAACAGATGTGTTGGAAGTGACCAAAAAATTCATGAGAGATCCAATTCGAATTTTGGTGAAAAAGGAAGAATTGACCCTTGAAGGAATCAAACAGTTTTATATTAATGTTGAAAGAGAGGTAATTTTTCTAATTGTTAAAATAAAAAGTTAGGTTTTTACCTTCTTGTATAAGCACTATGCTAAAATTACAGAAACCAAGATAACCTTGGTTTTTGCAATAATGCTAGCAGAGTATACACAAGAAGAAGAGGAACTGCACTAGATTGTAAAGACTGGGGTGGACCTCTTTCTTAATGTCCAGTGTCCTTTGTCTTAAGATTTGGTGCAATATGTCTTTAGACCAATCTGAGTCTTTAAAGAATGTAAGTTGGAAACAATTGTTCGTGACTGTTAACTTTCTCTTTGCATTACTGTAGGAATGGAAGTTGGATACACTTTGTGACTTGTACGAGACACTGACAATTACACAGGCTGTCATTTTTCTCAATACAAGGCGCAAGGTGGACTGGCTCACAGAGAAAATGCATGCCAGGGACTTCACAGTTTCTGCCCTGGTAAGAGGTATTCTAACCTAGTAATGGTAATTGAAGCCTCTGCTTTCACTCAAGCAGGATTTAGACTACAATATAGCTGCTAAGTGCTGTGTTGTCGTTCCCCCTGCTAAAAATAAAGTTGTTTCTTTACTATACCTGTCTGCTATGCTCCAGTAGCAGCCAGGGACGCTTGGTCTCATACATGCTGATAAAGTTAAGTTACTAATTTGATTGGTGATTCTTGAATTAATAGGTTTGTTACTTTGCAGCATGGTGACATGGACCAGAAAGAAAGAGATGTTATTATGAGGGAATTTCGATCAGGGTCAAGCCGTGTTTTGATCACTACTGACTTGTTGGTAAGTCTTTTAATGCTCTTTTTAATCCACCAAAAGTTTGTTATTGGGGGAAGGTTTCTTAATGGCCTTTACCACCTTCGGGCTATTTGGGAGAACAAAGAAGGCCACGCTCCACAGTGAGCTATACCACTTAGTATAGTTCATTACTATTTTGTGGCCTACATCACACAGACTGTAGCCCACCAGGCTCCTCTGCCCAGGGATTTGCCCAGCAAGAATATAGGAGTGGGTTGCCATTTTCTTCTCCAGGGGACCTCAGGAATTGAACCCACATCTTTTTTTTTACTGCTGAGCCACTAGGGAAGCCCCTATATTACATAGAATTTGAACATCATTATCACTGTATTTCAGGCTCGTGGAATTGATGTGCAACAAGTGTCATTGGTTATAAACTATGATCTACCTACCAATCGTGAAAACTATATTCACAGGTGAGTAGATGGCATCTTGACTTAGTAACGTATTGGTGTAACTCATTGCTTTTCTACTGACTAAATTGTCTGAAAGGTAACTTCAAATCAGGGAATTAAGTATTAAGACATAGTAACTTGGTAGGATATAATTAAAACTGTACTTGGGAAGATTGTGCACAGTGGGAAAACAGTTGTGAATGTTGCCCAAATCGTGGACTCTACATACAGATCAGGTTGTTTTAGATCTGTTGGTGTTAGCTTATTTTTGAGCTTTATTTTTAGTGATGCTCTTGTGTCCATGTGCTTTTCTTGGTGATTCCTCTATAGTTGGGATTTTCTTGGTGTTGTCTGGTAGCAATTTGAGCAGTCCCTGGTTTAGTTATAGTGGCTTTATCCCTAAGTAAATTGAATTGTACTTTGTTATATGATGTAAAAAAAGACTTTTTAAAAAATACAGGAGTCGATAGCAGCAGTTGATGACGAGATGGCACTCAGAAACGGCGTTGACGTAATTTAGGACGTGGAATCATAAGCGAAACAGCACACTGTTTGAATAAAGAGCGAGTCGGTATTTATACTTGTTTTTTTTTGTCATGATTATTTGATATTTTAACATGCTCCAGCTAAGGCATTTTGTGTATTAGCCTATTAGGTGGTTTGTATTGTCTGGTTTCTATCAGGAAGGTTAAAGAGATCTTTTGGAGGTAAACACGTTTGAGTAATTTGAGTTACAACGTGTGAAACTGAGCAAAAAAGCAGTGATAAGTTTGGGTTACCATACCAAATACTTGTTTTCCCACTGGAAAAAGTTGTTAAGTTTTAGACAGTAGTTAACCTTGCAGCATTTGTATTTGCAGTTTACAGTTCCAGAAGTGCGTCGAAATGGATTACATAACTTCTTTGTTTTATCCCTGGTGTTTGACATCTGTCCCAGGCCGACATCTGCTCTTGGCTAGCCCACTTTGGTATGGGCTTTAAATTCACTACCCCAAATACTGTCATCTGCTTTTAAAAAAAAAAAAAGTAATGCTCAAAACACCTGATAAAATCTCATTTTGCAGCCAGACAAGCCTTGAATCCTTTTGGCACTAACTGCAGAGGAAGATTTTTTTCTCTAGATATTGAGCAGCTAGTGCTCCAATTAGAAGCACGAACTATAACCTTGATAAGTAAACAGCAGCTGATGGTTAACAAGTGGATCATCATGTTCAGTAGTTCATGCAGCATGTGAGAAGTAATATATTCTAATGACTGATTTCTTTTCCTCACACAGAATTGGCAGAGGGGGTCGATTTGGGAGGAAAGGTGTGGCTATAAACTTTGTTACTGAAGAAGACAAGAGGATTCTTCGTGACATTGAGACTTTCTACAATACTACAGTGGAGGAAATGCCAATGAATGTGGCCGACCTTATTTAATTCCTGGGATGAGATAGTTTTGAATGCAGTGCTCGCTGTTGCTGAATAGGCGATCACAACGTGCATTGTGCTTCTTTCTTTGGGAATATTTGAATCTTGTCTCAATGCTCATAACGGATCAGAAATACAGATTTTGATAGCAAAGCGACATTAGTCGTGAGCTCTTGTGAGGAAAGTCATTGGCTTTATCCTCTTTAGAGTTAGACTGTTGGGGTGGGTATAAAAGATGGGGTCTGTAAAATCTTTCTTTCTTAGAAATTTATTTCCTAGTTCTGTAGAAATGGTTGTATTAGATGTTCTCTATCATTTAATAATATACTTGTGGACTAAAAGATATAAGTGCTGTATAAAATCAGCCAATTATGTTAAACTAGCATATCTGCCTTTATTGTGTTTGTCATTAGTCTGAATAGAAAGGCCTTTAAAATTGATTTTTTTTTAGCATTTGAATGCATTTTGTTTGGTATTATATTTATTCAATAAAGTATTTAATTAGTGCTAAGTGTGAACTGGACCCTGTTGCTAAGCCCCAGCAAGCAATCATCCTAGGTAGGGTTAAACCCCCAGTAAAATTGCCATATTGCACATGTCTTAATGAAGTTTGAATGTTAAATAAATTGTATATTCACTTTAAAGGTGCTTTGGTTATTTTATTATAAATTGCTTATGAAATACATACTGAATATAGTTTTAGCAGTTCTGAGTTAACTGCTGCATCACAGTAGCACAGAGGCTGATCAGCTGCAGATGTTCATCAGCGCCGTCTGCTAAGCATTTATCAACTTCCTACAAGAAAATGAAACATAGTAAAACTGCCCTTTTGTGGGTGTGGTGTGTATGTTGTGTTGAAATGTAGAAAACGCCTACTTACAGCAAGTTTTTCTGTAATAACAGACTTCTGTTTATCAGAAAGGTTATCATTTTCTACCACCACATCATGGAGTTGATTTACAAGTTGAGTTGCTGCATGACCCTCATCTATTAAGTCCTATAACCAAAATTATATATTTTAGCATTATTATCCCTTCACCCTTCCCCAAGGCTAATAGAGTCACTTTACCTTTACCACAGCTTCTAGTTTGTCGAAAGAGCCACTCTGACAGGCAGCAAATACTCCATCAATTGTCTTAGCTGGTACTACCTAAAAGAAGACAGTTGACTTCTCTACCAGTCTTGCACCCACTCCCTGTTAAATGCTTTCAGGCAGCACATGTTTTGCAGTTATAGGAAGGCAAAGAACTTCGAGCTCCAGATAGGTAGGTCCAGCCTTGATTATGCATGGCCATCTTTAAAAGATCAGGTACTGCTATGTAACCAGAGGAAGGCATTTACAAAATCCTCCAAGATGTCAACACAGAGGCCAGTTGGTCAGTTTCATTACAGAGTAAACCGAGCTAAGTTCGGAAAGGACTATCTGAAGACAAGGGTGTGGCACAAGAATTCCTTTAGTCACTTATCCCTTGGATAGGACCCACCCTTTAAAATTTAACTGCCACATCCCTGCCTGCATTCTGATATTTCCCAGCTACTACTATAAGCTACAGACTAAACATGATAGTATTTGGAGGTGACACCACTGGGAGGTGATTAGGTCACGAGTGCACCCCTTGCAAATTGAATTTATGCCCTTACAAAATACTCCCTTTTACCACAGAAGGATGCAGGGAGGTATGAACCAGTCTGAATTGGGAAGTATGTCCTCTACACAACACTGGATCTGTGGGCACTTGATCTTTAAAATTGAGAATGCTGTTTATAAACCACTCAGTCTATGGCATTTGTTGAAGCAGCTTGAATAGACAGAACATAATCACTATTTGCTGAAGTAAATTTAAGTCACAAAAAAGTCAAAGAATTTTCGGATACCCAGTGCTCTTACCCCAGCAATATCTGTGATCACTTTTTCTGTGACTTCCTTTCCACCTGTTAGTCGAGTAGCACTTTGAAGAAATGTAATGGCTTTTCTTAAGTCTCCTTCTGACACTTGAACAAGATAAGCTATTCCCTAAAGAGAAAAAAGTTGTTCTTAACCTGTTACGGCCAATTAAGGATGAATTTAATAAAGAATGTCAATTCTATAGTGGCAGGATTCATGGAGACAGCTTTGATTACATAAATTATGGTTAAATTCTGTTGCAATGAATAGGGGTGTATATACTCTATCATTACCAGAATTGCATCATACCTAATTAGTTCTGGCACAGAAGTATCAGTAACGACTATGCAGAGATTTGCTGTTGAAGAATTTGTAGTCTATGTATGAAATTTGCCTCAGCTTTGAGTCTGAAATATTGACAGATAATAAATTTCTAATAGCAACAGAAAGGCTAAACCTATAATTCCTAAACATTCCAGTTGTTCACTTAACTTTGCCTGAGCAACCAGCATCAAAAATTGAAGCAATACAAAACTGACTCTCAGAAAGGGCTTCTTCATAGGCATTTATCAAAGGAATTACTAATTTACACTAGCTGTAACAGTAATAGTAATTACCTCTTTGCTAATTTTGACATGTTCTTTATCAGCGATGTCTAGTAACCGCTGCTGCTGAATTTTATCTGACAGAGGTTTAAAGCGGAATTTAGAACATCTAGAGGTCAGAGGTTCAATTATTCTGTAAAATATTGGAAAAAAACAAGTCATTGTCTACAAAAACTCCCCCAAAGAACTTTATTAAGAACAAATCAAGATTTGATGAAGGGGAAACTCAGGGTAACCTTGAAACATTTTTTTCTCTGTTTGGGGCTATCAAAGTAAGGTTCCCTGGTATTTATCTTTAGGGCGATAACACATACCGGCTGACATAGTTACAGATGAGACAGAATCTGGTGGTTTTAGACTCTTTCTCCATGGTACGTCTTAAAGCTGCCTGGGCAGCTGAGGTCATAGAATCTGCTTCATCCAGAATCACAATTTTAAAAGGAGGACATGGCTTTCCACTGATTCAGAGAAATACACAGGAGTTAATTCATACATTATCACAATCTACTTTAGAACGTTCTCATCACTCCAAAAGGAAACCCTGTGCCCATTAGGAGTCATTTCGCTTCTCTCCCAACTTTCCCAGCCACAGGCAATCAGGAATCTCTACCTTCTGTTTCCACAGGTTTGCCTATTCTGGACACAACATAAATGGAATCATACATTGTCAACATAATATGCTGTCTTTTGTGACTGGTTTCTTTTGCTTAATGTAATGTTTTTAAGGTTCAACCATGTTGTATCTCATTATTTCAATTCCTTTTATTGCCAAATACTATGGCAAATGGATGAACATACTATCTTTTCATTCATCCATTCTTTAGTTGATGGATATTGGGTTTTTTCCATGTTCTGACTATTATGAATGCTGCATCTATAAACATTTGTGTACATGGATATATATTTTCATAACCTGTCGGTATATATTGTAGGGCTGGAATTGCTGGGTCATATTTAACTTTTAGAAGAACTGCCAACTGTTTTCAAAGTGGCTGTGCCATTTTACATTACAACCAGCAATGTATAAGAGTTCTGATTTCTCCACATCCTTGGTAATACCAGTTGTTTTCTGTCTTTTTGATTATAGCCATTCTGCTGCTCCTGCTGTTAAGTCACTTCAGTCATGTCCGACTCTGTGCGACCTCATAGACTGCAGCCCACCAGGCTCCCGTCCCTGGGATTCTCCAGGCAAGTTCACGAGTGGGTTGCCATTTCCTTCTCCAGTGCATGAAAGTGAAGTTGCTCAGTCGTGTCCAACTCTTAGCGACTCCATGGACTGCAGCCTACCAGGCTCCTCCGTCCATGGGATTTTCCCGGCAAGAGTACTGGAGTGGGTTGCCATTGCCTTCTCCATATAGCCATTCTAAATGGGTGTAAATGGTATCTCAACATGGTTTTTATTTGCATTTCTCTGGCTCATGATGTTGACGAGCATGTTTTGATATGCTTATTGACCACCTGTTATCATCCTTGGGCTTCCTTGGTGGCTCAGTGGTAAAGAACCCGTTGGCTAATGCAAAAGACTCGGGTTCAATCCCTGAGTTGGGAAGATCCCCTGGAGGAGGAAATGGCAATCCACTCCAATATTCTTACCTGGGAAACCTCATAGATAGGGGAGCCTGGGGTTTCAAAAGAGTTGGACATGACTTAGCAACTCAACAACAACAACATATTCCTTGGAGTAATGTCTATTCACATCCTTTGCCCATTTTTAAATTGGGTTGTCTTTTTATTACTGAGTTGTAAGAATTCTTTATTCTTGATCTAAGTCCCTTATCAAGTATATGATATATATATATTGTCAATCCAAGGCAGATATCAAAACTGTCATTCACTTTCTACAAATTCCTAAGTGTGCTCTCAAATAAAATTAAATATATGTCAGGTACCAAAAATTTAACCTTGGAACTTTGCCACCTAAGGAGTATACGCAGTTGACTAAACATCCCTATTGAATTATTATTAAAAATCAGGATTTTTATTTTGAGTGTACCACCAAACCATATTTGACTAATGAATACTCCTTAGACAAAATATCAACTAAAAACCCCTGATAGCTAAATAACTTAAAATTAGTTACTAATGGAAAGGTCATTTCTAATTTTAAATAATTTAGATAAAAATATGATGTAATATGAAAAAAGTTGAAATTCTGGCAGAAATGTATTTTAAACAAATACAAAGACATGGTATAGAAAAGGGAAGGCGAGCTTACTTACTCTGAACGGCTTCCTGACACAGTCAATTGGGCAAAATTCTTAACTTTCTCTCTAACTACTTGTATTCCACGTTCATCAGATGCATTTAACTCAAGAACTCTTAATCGAAAAAGTTCAGGCCTATGTCAAAAAAAAAAAAATGAGAAACATCATAGTGCATATAAGTAAACCAGGTTTAAAACATATTTTAACATCTGTACATTTTTCAATAGTTTAAAATGCACCTAGTTAACAATATGGATATAAGGCACACAGTCCTCTATTTTCTTTTCCAAGGTCATACAGTTAACATTCTGGCTTTTATCTGATACAGCAAAAAAAAAAAAAAGGTGATGATACCACATAATGTGCTAAATTTTAAATCAATTTTCCACTTTGTACTGTTCATAAACATCTTGCCATGTCTTTATCGATAAACACTGTAAAAACCATTTTAATAGCTATGAGTTTCTAACCTAAGAGTGGTAACATCCTTCTATTGTTAAACATTTAGTTTTAAATATGTTACAATTTAAAATGATGGTGCAATGTAGCATATTTTGAATTCTTTCCAAAAAGTATCTTGCTATAAGGAAAACTACTGGATCAAAATATGAAGTTTATTTACTTTTAATAATTTAAAAGAAAATAAAAACATCTGGCATACCCTGCTAAACCATTGTTTTGAATACTTCATTTTTCTATGTGTGTGTGTGTGTGTGTATGTATATACACACACATATATAGAACAGGAGTAGGGATTTAGTCTTTATTTTTCCTAAACAGCATGATATCCTCTGCATTTTTCTATGGGCATCAACATCTAGAAAGCTGTGAACATGTATTTTCTATTTTAAAACCACATATACTATTATATGTGGGATTTACAATTAAGTCCCTTTCAACAAGTTATATAATTTGGACTAACTTACTCTAGAACAACTAATAGTAAACTATACTTAACAGCTTCTTTACAACTGCATTGCTAAGGATTGTTCAGACTGGATCTGAGTTGTAGAATTCATCGAAAAAGCTCCTTTAAAATTTTCTTGAGAAAACAAATGTTGCTGTCAAAATACTAGGTTCAGAGCAGCTTCCCCTTTTGTCTTCCTTGACACCTCAACAGAACTAATTATCCTTACGTATTTGGTGGTTTCAGAGGCATCTAATTATTTTCATGTGTAGGATTTCAAATGTACCCTTAGGCCATATGCCTGATATTAAAATCCTGGATAAATTAAAAACAGCTGCTGTTATGTTGGTGCATGTTGCATGGATACCAGACAGGGGCTGAAATATATCTTTTAACTTTAGATAAAGGGCTCGGGGCCCCCCTACTACAACTGGCTAAGCCAAACACTGTCAGTCTAGGAAGAAGGTGGCTCATAGAGATTTTCTGCTGTACCTGGAATCATACTGCACCAACTATGATACTCTGCTTACACTCAGGATACTTGAGGGCCTGGAGCTGGCCCAGCTACTCTGGAGGCAGGCCCTGGGAAGTCCAGAGCAAGAAAGAACTCAAGAAGGGGTGGTCAACATCAGTAGCATCAAAACAGCAAATTCTATGACACAGACGTGAACATGACCATTAAGAGTGATGAAACTATCAGCATGACTGCAGATAGGGTCCTCTAGTCTCCAAAATGACAATGAGTTTTAAAGTGATGAAAAAAATCACAAGGCTCCTTGTAGTACATTCAAACGCTTGAACAAGTTTCAGAATAAAGGTTACAAAAGGTATAGGCAAGCTAATTTATTGGAGGGAAGGAACTGAAAACAGTCCACTGGTTTATTAAGAAAAAAATTCAGAACAAAAATCAACCCAACAACAAAATCACAGAAAAACCAAATGCAAGTTTTAGAGAAAGAAAAGCAGTACCAGAGATACTTAGTGTCAAGTCTTAAAAAAGAGAGATTTCAACTTACCCAAAGAGTTCCCTAGCTGCTGCCAAAATAGTTGATGTTTTTCCAGTTCCAGGTGGCCCATAAAACAAGAGATTAGGGAGCTGCAGAAGTTAAATTTTTTTTTAAATTATATTCTGATACACACAGGTTAAAAATGACTGAAAATGTCTACAGAAGAATGTAATGACTTCCTTCATAGGGCATATATGTCTGAATACAAAGATTTCTTAATATAACTGGTATTACAGTAATAATAGTACTAAATCCTGCTTTTTCACAAACACTATCATTTTTCCCCAAGATGTCTTTCTAGTATCTTAAACTGAATCAATATGATTGTTCTATATCTAATCTAATACACAGGTGGGATTTTCAAAGCTGGAATTAAAAACCTCTTATTTCTGAACGGAATCCTGGGCTTCTGTCAGTTCCTTATCTCGCATCTGAACTCTCATGACTGGGCAAGATTTTATATTTTATAAAGATGTCAGTTGCTTCAAAAGGGACACTGACCAAATTGGATTTGGCCAATATGAAGGAAAAAGGAATGAAAATGGCATACTGGGGCTTTCCATGAGCTAAAGTTCCAAGAATAGAAACATTAAAAAAAAAAGCATCTACTGTCACAGGGTAGTCCACATCATGATTATGTACCCTGCCTGTAGGGATGCCTGCATGTATTTCATCAGTAGAAGATAGGATAAGATTAAATAACCAGCTCTTTTAAATCTTAAATCTAGCTGGCTTGGCTCCTATCAAACAGACAACTCATCTGTGGTACAGATTAACAAATGTACTAAATTCTAATGAGCACTGTTATGAAACTGTATACTTTAAAAATTTTTTTGATTTTATATTGGAATATAATTGGTAGTTTCAGGTGTATAGCAGAGTGATTCAGTTATATATAGGCATGTGTCTTTTTTTTTCAAATTCTAGCCCCGTTTAGGTTATTACAGAATATTAAGCAGAGTTCCCTGTGCTATACAGTAGGCCCTTGTTGGCTCTCTATTTTAGAGATAGCAGTGTGTACATGTCAACCTCAAACTCCCAATCTACCCACTAACCCTTCCCCTCTCTAGTAAGGATATATTTGTTTATTCAGTCTGTGACTCTGTTTCTGTTTTGTAAATAAGTTCATTTGTATCTTTTTTTAAAATTTCTGTACATAAGCTGTATCATATGATATTTGTCTTTGTGAAACTACATTCTTCAGTATGTCCTTTCATGGATGGAAATCACCACACATAGGAAACTAAGCAGTATGGTTTATTTGCTTCCACTCTTGCCCCATCCTCCCTCTTCCCATCCATTCATTCGTCATTCAAATCAGATGCCACTCTACTGGCTACTTAAAGCTATTCACCACATTCATACTGTACTGAGAAAAACAAAACACATCCCCAAATCAACTTGCTTACTATAACCTATAAAGATGTCCATGATTTTCTCACCACCTCTCTCCCCTTCTAGATTCCAACTCACAATGGCCTCCAACAGCTAAGCACTTTCTGGCCTGCACATATACTTCCCCATGAGCTGAAGTCTGACTCCATTCTTCTGTTTATCAACTCCTGCTGTACTGCAAGTCAGAAGCCTTCCCAGACCACCCAATCTAAAGAGGGTCTCTTCTGTTATTCTCAGTGGTCTCTGCTGCACTTGATGTAATTTGCAATTATTTATTGTTATTTATTTAGCTGTTGGGTTTAACTTAAAATACCTGTTCACCTCACTATATGGGAAGCATGAATAGAATCTTATTTGTTCTACTCACATCTATGTTCTCAGCATCTCCTGCAGTACTCGGTATGTGCCACGTAAATAAACCAATACATAAATATATTTAAAAAGTATTACTGTTACACTGGTAACATACTGTTTAAGATACAAACTATGAGATTCACTATTTAAAAACAAAAATAAAACCTCCCAGCCATCTTCATTTTTAAGACTTCATTTTTTACTTTGAGCCAACTACCTCAGTAGTTTTAATGATTCATCCAGTCAACTACTACATAGAATACTTTAAATTCTTTAAAATACAGTAAAATTATTAAGCCTTACATTATGTAATACTCTGATAATATATACATATAGAGCATTCAAGGACTGTACATGCAATATCAGTTCTAAAAAATCAGAAAAAAACTCTTATAATTCTACTTTAATATCCTTTAGTGTAAACAAAGGAATGAATTATTTTGCTTTACTCTTTCTTTAAAAAAAATTTTTTTGTATTGGAATATAGCTGATTAACAATGTTGTGACAGTTTCAGATGGACAAGTAAGGGACTCAATCATACACAATTATCCATTCTCTCCCAAACTCCCCTCCCATCCAGGCTGTCATATAACATTAAGCAGAATTCCCTGTGCTATACAGGTTATCCATTTTAATTTCCTTTACTCTTTAGAATTAAAAAAATTACTTCAACTCTAAGTTTCAAAAAACTTAAATCTGAAAAGAAACACAAATACAAGCAGTTAAAGAAGAAAGTTCTTAATTCAGCCCTGTAAATTAGATGCTATAAAATCAAGAACTGGATCATAATCCCACTTCATTTTTTTAAGGAGTTGATGAATCATAGCAATTAAAAAAAATCATGTCCTGCAATCTGTGTCAATATTAGCATGCAATTTAAATCGTACGACATTATAAAATTAAAAGCTAAAGGTATGTGGATCAAATTAAGACAAATACTAGTGAAGAAGATTCAACAGTTTTATAAATATAACGTCTTTCAAAATATATACTGTTGCAGTGTAATTCTAGGAAGAGAATAATGGCATCAAAACCCAAAGAATCTCTAATTCAAAACAACCAGGTTGAAAGGAAGGAAGAAAATTTTCAGAATAAAGCAAAAACCACATCCCACTATCATCTGCAACTGTTTCCCGTCCTCCACTAAGCTCTTACAACACTTTGCCTTATACAATTTTAAACTACTAATTCTTCACATAGGTTTATCTTGTCTCTGAATTAACTGAAAATGCAACTCACTCAAGGACATTTTATCCTATATATCACAGCAGGTGACATGACACTATAAACAGAACACTTATTTTTTTGGTATTGTATTGAGAGTTCAAATCCTAAAATTAGGTGAGCAATCATGCTTTCAAAGAATCTTTGACTCTTCCTCATAGGATCTATTGTTGTTCAGTCCCTAAGTCGTTTTTGACTCTTTGCAACTCTATGGACTGTAGCATACCAAACTTCCCTGTCCTACACTGTCTCCTGGAGCTTGCTCAAACTCATGTCCACTGAGTCAATGATGCCATCCAACCATCTCATCCTCCGTCGCCCCCTTCTCCTCCTGCCCTCAATCTTTCTCAGCATCAGCATCTTTTCCAATGAGGCTCTTCACATCAGATGGCCAAAATATTGGAGCGTCAGTTTCAGCATCAGTCCTTCCAATGAATATTCACGACTGATTTCCTTTAGGATAGTAGCTATCATTATCTATAATTCTCTCATTTATTGTGCTTACATGTTTATTCTCTCTCCCCATCAAAATGAAAGCTCATGAGCAAACGGACCCAGTCTATCTTGCTTAATGATCTCCACTTGTGTACCATATAACAAGGCCACCATAGGATAGAAGAGATGCTCAACAAATATTTGTTGAACTACTCCTCCACTGTATAAATAGTAATAAAGGGCCTACTATGTATATACAGAATAGTATTTAAAAGGGACTGGAGGCTATAAAGGAAGGAAGAGGGTGAATGAATTCTTAAATCTCCCAATGACTTTAGGACTCCAGACAGCGTATGCTACTCACATCAGCTCCTTCTAAAGACTTTTTAAGGACTGCAACCACTTCTTCCTGGAAAGCAACTTCATCCACACATTTTGGGCGACTGGGGGGGGAAAAAAACTTATTTAGTATATTACAGTAGCCACAGAAGTCTTTCCTTTTGTTAAAATACCAATGATAATTCTCTCTGATATCAGTAATGAAATGAGAAACTTTCATAACTGGATATGGAAACCCCATCTGTATTCACTTCAGGCAAATAAATACTGAGGAATGAAATGAAGTGACGTTTCACTCTTCCAGATGCATTGTTTACATCTGTTGTACTTACAAAACTTATGCAATAGGATTTTATAACATCACAAATGTCAACTGATTCAAAATGTAAAGTGAACACTTGCCTAGGAAGTAACATGTTTTGACAACATGCACCTAAGCTGAAAAGAGAGACCTATTTAGCAACCTCAAAATAGGTAACAATTATGGTTAATACAGTTACATATGTTACTTTGTTTTTAATTGGTTAAAAACAATTTCTTTTATCACCTAAGTGCACAAAAAATGCATACCTATTCACTTGAGCACTAACAAAATAACAAGCTTAATCAATATGAAGTATAACTTTTGTCTTACATAACTAATGCTGTTAAGCTAAGTCATCCAACACTAAGGTTAGGCTTTGCGCTTAGTTAACTAATCAAAAGCTCTTTTCTATTTATACTTTTCTAAGTAAACAGGCCAACACCAGACAGATATTTTATGTCAGATGTTATCTTAGAAAACCAGTATGTATTATAAACCAGGGTTTCAAAAATAAATAAATAAATAAACCAGGGTTTCATATTCAAATACCTGCAGAGTCCAGGCAGATAACAACAGTGAAAAATGCAAGTTTAAGACAAGAGACATTAGTAGGGACTACGGTGAAGTGAGGAACATATGACCTTTCCAGAATGAGCAGTATTCCATTTAAGTGTTTTCAGGTGAGAACCTGAATATAGTGCTGCCTAATCTCCTGAGCAGCTGAAAATCTAGATTTTAACCTTTGTGTAATTTATTTAATAAAAAGATTCTAGACTTTTATGTGAAATTTCCCATTTTTAAAAGCATTACTGATGCCAAACAAAACTTAAGAAGGCCTTACTTGGCTTGTAAGTAATCTGCAATTCTTTGATAATAACTGAGGGTATACTAGGGGTTACAATTACTTGTTATAATATCACTTAACTGACTGAAATTTAACAGCCCCATCAGTGTTGTTTCTGCCAAAAATGTATAAACAAAAACTCAACGATTTGCAGTTACCAGTAATGAAAAGAGGAACAGATTATGCGGATTTAAGCAAAACTCCTAAGAGCTTGTGGTCAGTTTATAGAAACTTTGTTTTCTTCACTGCTGTATCCCAACCCCCTAAACCACAGACCTCAGTTACAGAGAAGGCTGTAGTTCATGCAGAAAATAAGTGAATTGAGCTAGAGTAGTCTAAGGTACATTTCAGTTCCAAGGTTCTATGCCTTCTACAATTGGGTGATTTTCTTTTAAAGATGATTTTTTTGAAAAATATTATTTGTTTATTTGGCTGTGCCAGGTCTTAGCCCCAGCATACAGGATCTTTGATTTTCGCTTTGGCATGTGAACTCTTAGTTGTGGCACGTAGGATCCAGTTCCCCCACCAGGTATAGAACCTGGGCCCTCTGCACTGGGAGCACGGAGTCTGAGCCACTGGACCGCTAGGGAAGTCCTAATTGGCAACACTTAAAAGGAAGGCAAGGACTTCCCTGGTGGCTCAGATGGTAAAGCGTCTGCCTACAATGTGGGAGACCTGGGTTCGATCCCTGGGTCTGGAAGATCACCTAGAGAAGGAAATGGCAACCCACTCCAGTACTGTTGCCTGGAAAATCCCAGGGACGGAGGAGCCTGGTAGGCTGCAGTCCATGGGGTTACAAAGAATCAGACACGACTGAGTGACTTCACTTCACAAGCAAGGCAAACCATCCTCCTCTTAAGTTAAAAAGGAAAAGTGATCAAAACTGGTCTGAGAGGTAATTTATTATTTCAACAAAAACGAGTGTTCTTACTATTTTTCCACCCACGGAACAGGTTTGGCTTTCTTGTTCTCTCCACTACTTCTGGCAGTGGCAGTTACCCCTCGATCCTTAGTCGACGGTGGTTTAGTGCTGATAGATGCGCCTTTTAGAAATGCCTGCATGGTTACTTCACCCTGAATAGGTCTAAGACAGAAAAGGAAAAGCTCTTTTGACACCATTATAAGGAAGTATAGCCTGAAAGCACACTTAACCCCGTACAGACATTCAATAAATACTACATGAAGGACATCACCCTGTGACCTAGCATCCCCTAAATGCATTCTACGGAGGACTAGTGGGACATAAATAGGTCAAAGTACTAAAGGAACTTAAAAATCTACTTATAGTGAGGGAGTTCTAGAAAAAAGGACTTCTAACTTTTTGATAAGTACAATGGCATTAATGGCCAAACTGTACAGGGGTCTCAACAGTCATCAGCCTAGCTCTAGCTCAGACCCTAGAATGGACTCAAAAATTAGGAGGAGGACCAAGACCAAAAATGAAAACCCTCTGCTTCTCATGGGACTAGAGTTCCACTCAAGAGCCTATTTTACTGGCAGAGCCTGTGCTTGCCTTCAAAAGCTTTTGTGGTGAGGGAACTGGGGGAGAGGAGACACTGATGTTAAAATGTAAATAGCTGTTTTTCTGATTGCATGCTTATTTGAAAAAATCAAAACAACGCAGAAAAGCATGAGGAGTTTAAAAAACTCAAAATCTCACTCAGAAAATAAGTATTAACATTCAGGTAAACATTCAGCCAAGCAGCACAAGGCTGTTTTCAGGGATAGTTTGCCTGAAAACCCCCAGCATTAGTAGCAATTTTATTTATTTTTTTGGAAGTGCAATTTTTTTTTCACTGTTGTGTTTCCAGGGCGTGGCACAGGATAGATGCTCTATAAAATTCGGTGACTGAATTACCATTTATCAGACCCAGTTTCCCCTTCTGTAAAAGAATCTAAAAGACCATTTCATAAGGTAACTAAGTCAAAAAAACTGTGCAAACACATAGCTCTGTGCTTAGCATAGGGGTATATAATCAATGAATAAAATAAACTGTTAATATCTGTAAACTAAGGTTTTTAACTTTGTTGGATTAGTCCATCCCTGCCACAGGCTGTAATATCGCCCAAAGCAGGGCTCTGAAGGATGGTAAGACTGAGCTACCCGTACACCAAGGGGTGCAAGATATCACAGAGGCATCGAGGGCGCAAAAGTGGAGAAAGGCAAAGGTAATCCTCGCAATTTCTCCCGCTGGTCACCTGTTCTCCCCGGTTCCCTGCGCGTGTTCGCCGGCAGTGCCTGGGCCTTTCAGTCGCTCGTATCGAGAGCGAGGACGCCGCCGGCTCGTTCCTGAGATTTCCGGGACAGGGAAAGGGCAAGGTGGTCACGAAGTCTTAGCTCCGTCCCCCAAGCTGAGACTCTCAGGCCCGGGAAGCCCCAAGCGGCAGAGCAGGGACACTTAACAGCTGCCGCCTTCAGCCCGAGTTCCCGCCATCGAAAGGCGGCGAAGGGCAGGGCGGGAATACGCCGCACGCACGTCACTTCCGGTCCGCCGCGCGCGCCCAGCTTTAAAGGAGCTGTGTCCTTCTAGTCCCTAGTGTTCAAGCTGATGAGACACGCGGGTTTTCCGGTACGCTGTGGGTGGGATGGGAATGAATGAGGTGGTGTAAGTAAAGCTCCACTCTGCTCTCGCGCACCCCTCCGACTAGAGGCTACAGGCAAGGGAACTTGAGCACGGCCGGGGCCGCGAACCCGCGTGCTCAGCGGCTGGGGACAGGGAGAGCTCCGAGAGCCGACCCGCCAGGGTGGTTGGGGAGGTGAGTACGGGGCCTTGAATCCCGCAGGTCCACTCTCTTTGTGGGGACGAGCCTGCGGAACCTGTACCGCACTGTTAATTCTGTGGCAGTCATGGGGCGTGTCACTGACATTTCTGCGGCGACACAATTCGGCCTGCAGCCTGTTTTACCCTAAAGAAAGACGAGAATAGGGGAGGCTAAAGTCTCTCCTTCGCCAGAAGAGGGCGCCCTGGAGATCTCTGTCCTCTCCCTTCGGCTTGGTAGTCGCGAGGCTCACTGTGGGCAGAGACGGAAGAAGATGCTTTTCCTTGCCACTTTGGGTGCGTGTGGCTTATTATCTCTATTACTGTCTGCCCGTTGGCGAGAGGGAGGACACTGCCGTGCAGCTCTGGTCAGCTAATCCTGGAGCCCTGCCTAGAAATCTGGTGGTGCGCCACCAGGGTGCAGGCAGTGTGTCCTCTAGGCAAGTGTTTTAGGCCACCCTTTTTATCTTTGCCCATTGCTTGTCTCAGCTTTGAATTTTTTCTTAATGTTACTGAAATTTGACCCGTTTGAAATACTACTTTAGTTTCAGGCCTTTTTCTAATTACTGTAACCCGCAGGATTGATCTGGGTCTTCTCCAGATGGATATTTTCTTTGGCGTGAACTCATCACGCGTTTTAAACTTTATGTGTTTATTCATTTGTCTTTCAACAATTGCTTATGGAGTGTCCATAGGCTGCGAGGTCAACAAATGCTTTGTAACTCTCACAGGCAGGGCCTGATATAGTCTCTGGACAGTATAAAAAGCACACAGGTGACCTATCTGGTCACTGGTTTACATTGTCAAAACCATCAAAATGTACACTTAATGTTTGTACATTTTTACTTTATGTAAATTATACCTAAATAAAGTTGATAAAGATCCAATGTTGACTCCCAGTTACCTCACCACCAGCTAGTCAGAAGAATGTCCACAAGCCAATCGTGACCTACTCTTTGAACACTGGAAGACTCCTCACTAACCCCCTTCATGGCAGGACACATAGTCTTGATTAGTCCACTGTGGCCCCCTTTGCCTTTCTGCACTGGTGCACAGAGGCTGAATTTTGGCAACATGAGTAGTGATTTCCTCAGTCCTTGCCCAAAGCCATTTATTCATGAAACTATACGGAAAAGGACATGAAAACCTTTCAAGGACTGTTGGATACAAGGTGTGAATTGAGGTACTCAATCTAGGGACCCAAAGCATTCTCATATAATTCCTTTGTTGAATTGAATGGATAGGGGTCAGGTAATAAATGGAGTTTGGACCCAGGTCTGGCACCTGGTAGGTCACTGGCTCCACAGACTCACCTGCTGGTCATTTCCCTGGTTCTCAGAGGACTGACTGGAACAGCTATACTTAGGTACTGGTGATAACCACACCGGTTCCTTGTCCTGTGTGGTAAGGGCTGGTAGAGAAAACCAAGTAGATGACTGAAACCACCTTACACTCCCCAGTGAAGATTTTAAGTCAAAAACAATACTATACAAGGTGTATGGCAAGTAATAGTGCTCCCCCAAACTGAAATAAGCAGGAATAGTAGTCTATCACATGCCTTTTCCATCCATCAGTGTGCTCCCTATAAAAACTAGATTTATTTTGGAGGATAGCAGTGGGTTACCATAAGCTCAACCAAGCAGTAGCCTCCCAATTACAGATGTGAGCTGGACATGGTATCTTTGCTAGATCAGATTAACATGGCCTTAGATATACAGTTTACCATCAATCTGATGAAGTGAAGTGAAGTCACTCAGTCGTGTCCAGCTCTTTGCAACCCCATGGACTGTAGCCTACCAGGCTCCTCAGTCCGTGGGATTTTCCAGGCGAGAGTACTGGAGTGGGTTGCCATTTCCTTCTCCCGAGGATCTTCCCCACCCAGGGATTGAACCCCGGTCTCCCACAGTGTAGGCAGACGCTTTACCGTCTGAGCCACCAGGGAAGTCTTATCAATCTGATAAGTGTATTCATTTCCATCCTTATCAGAGGACCGAAGCAGCTCACATCCACTAGGACAGGACACAGCATACACTCACAATGTTACCCCGAAGCTATGCTAATCTGCCCTTTGCCATTGTTGTGTCCCACTTTCTGCGACCCCATGGCCCTTTGCCATAATATCATCTTTTATTTATTTATTTTTGGCTCTGCTAGGTCTGTGTTGCTGCATGGGCTTTTCTCTAGTTGTGGAGAGCGGAGGCTACTCTAGTTGCAGTTGCAGCCTTCTCATTGAAGTGACTTCTCTTGTCTGGACCACAGGCTCTAGGGCATTTGGGCTTTAGTAGTGTGGTTCCTGGGCTCTAGAGCACAGGCCCAATAGTCGGTGGTGCATGGGCTCCGTTACTCCTCGGCATGTGGGATCTTCGTGGACCAGGGACCGAACCTGTGACTCCTGCACTGACAGGTGCATTCTTTACCACTGAGCTGCCAGTTAAGCCCTCATAATATAGTTTTAAGGACGTTGGCCATCTGCACATTTTGCAGAAGGTCACATTGCTTATTATATTAAATGATCAAATGAGTAAGAAGTGGCAAATACTTTGGAAGACTAAGACACATGCATTCCAGAGGGCAGAATAAAAGCTAGATGAAAATTCACGGGGTTACCACATCAGTGAGGTTTTTAGAAATCCAGTGGCTTGGGGCATGCCCTCCCATCTCCACTGCATTAGAACAAATTATCATCTGCCATCTCCCACAACTAGGAAGAAAGCACGATGTGTGGCAGGCCTTTTGAATTCTGGAGGCAGCACGTTCCATATTTAGAAATACTGCTCTCATTTATTTCCTTCATGACAAGGAACACTTACAGCAGGAACGGGTTGTGTAGCAGATCGAGGTTGAGGTACAGGCATCCCTTACTCGTGGGCAGTGCAGCCAGTGGGATCCACATGGACACTATGGGACTAGAGTTGTCTGTGGTGAGAAAAGATGCCATGTGGAGGAGAGCAGGCTTGTAGCACAAGGCCCCAGGGCTTGCCCATAGATGCAAATCTATGCCATCTGCATCAGAGAAGCATTCAGAAAAGAGACCATCCTGTGTTAATGGGCCCTAGCAGAGATTACACACCTAACCTGGGACATGAAGTGACCGAGTATCCAGATTTGCCACCAGGAGCTGGGTTCTGTCACATTCACCAAGCCTTAAGGCTGGGAGGGGTCAGCAGCATTCCATCATAAGATGGAGGTGGTAGGCCTGGGAACAGCCATGAATCAGATAATATAAGCTAGCTGCATGAGCAGCTGGCCCAGGCTCCTGTGTCAGCTACACTTTGTACCAGCGCCTCTGTCTCAGCTCATGAG